AACGATCTTGTCCCTCCTGCTTCCCCTTACATCCTCCAGTTAAGACCCAGAGCATGTTGCTCTCCTGAAGGAATCTTCTGACGACTCGACAGAATACGCGACCATCACCCCCAGTACGAGCAAACTCCATACCAACCAACAGGCAACATCGGAGGAGACTCTGCAATCCCCCTCACAGAAGATGAGGAGCTCCAGCCCTGACAGTCAGGTAACATCGGGGTCATCCCACAGCAGCTTCCCAGAAACTGAGGACAGCAGCTGCTCCTGCAGTCAGAGTCCTGAATGCAGGCGAAACCGCTCCCACCAGCAGGGTCAGACCCCCAATTCATACAGCAGATGCAGAAGCTGCCGTGACAGGAGCCGTGTTAGAGCACCCAGTGCTGGGAGCTCCACTCACCGGTGGGACAGTGAGACAGGGACCCACCGCTGACACGTCCCACGTCAGACAGGGAGGAGGAGGCCCCCAAAGGGAGGGAGCCAGGTGAGAACAAAGTGCCCCTCCCACAGCCTGGCAGAGGGGCTGTCAGGGCAGGCAGCACAGGTGCCATGACTGGGGCCATTGTCTCTCTCCCCTCCAGCATGCCTGCTGTGTCAGCCATCAGAGGCTGACCCGGACATCTGTAGAGAAAACCTTCAGATAAATGAGTTCTGTGCCCACGAGTTCTGCCTGGTGAGTTGCTCCATGGACTCCTTCCATTTTTTGACAGGCAGTCCCTGCCACTCTCTCCTCATCAGTGAGTGTCATTTTTCTACAGTTTTTGCCAGCTACCTTCCTCAGCACAATGATGGTCAAGTAGGACTCTTTGGCTTTCTCCCAAGGAATATCCCAGATGTACTCTCCCAGGTGGCACAGCAGGTGAGAGCCTGACAAGAGCAGGGAGATTTGGGCCAGGTGAGGTTTGCTGGAGCTCAGCCCAGACTCCAAGCAAGAAAGCTCAGCCCTTCCAACCAGCTCTGGGACAAGGAGGAGGCCATGAGGCTGCTGCTGATGGGGCTGATCTGCTCTTTCCAGAGCTGCTGCATCTGTGACCAGAGCGGGGCCACCATCACCTGCTGCGATACAGACTGTGACCTGAGCTTCCACCTGCCCTGTGCCAAGTAGGGAGGCCGTGTCACCCAGTTCATGGCACTGTACAGGTACCTCCTGTCCCCTCCACCACCCAGCACTTCTCATCTCACCCACCCCTTTTCTCCCCAGGGCCTTCTGCCCCACACACAGCCCAGAGCAGGCAGTGGAGGCGACTCCGGAGCCGGGCACCGAATGCCTCATCTGCATGGAGCCTGTGGAGGACAGAAAGAC